AGGCAGTCTTTAGCATACAGTATTACCTTTGCAAAACTACAGTCTCTGCAGAAATTCGTTATTCTTAATTAGCATTTCTGTAAACAGCATCAACCCCCATCATTTGCCATAGAGGAAAATCTCTGCGGTGCATTTCCACTAACAGTCGCGAACGCAGCAATTTGTTGCAGTTGTTTCTACTTATTACTTCAGTTGTTCAGCGAGAGAGGAGGGGAAAATAGAGTAGAACATTCCTAGACACTGCTTTGTCTTCACAAACACACATCCAGACACCTATTATTCACTATTATCCTTTAACAATGAAATTGACTGCTGTTTAAATTTTCTTTAATGCAGCCTGGAGGTAATATCCCATGATTCCCCACTAGCCAGCCACTTTAGTGAGCTCTTTAACTCCCTTTCAACTGCCTTTACTCATCTACTCAGTTTTACAATAACATACTCCGACTTTAACAGCCAACAACAATCTGTGTTTGGGTTTTATTTAGCCTTGTAGTGCTGGTAAGGAGTGTGTGTGTGTGTGTGTGGGCATGGGTTTTGCTCGTAACGTGTATGTACACTCAAGATGTGGGATGCCAAGTGTTGGCTTTCATGTAAAAAGAAATCACTATTTTGGAACAAAAAGAAAAGCAACAAACAGGAAGACCATTAAAACATTTCACAGAATTTGCTTGGCTGTTTTCAAATACAGAGATACAGACTGTTAAAAGCATTGTTTTTTATCATATATAATATTTTATAATAATATCATATAAAATGTAGTTTAATATGTTGATATTTTTATAATAAAGTTTGTATATTGTATATTGAAGAAATCTACAAATTTAACAGATATTAAAGCCATTTCAACAAACAGGACATGGATGTTACAGTTGTTTAATACCTGATCACATATAATAAGCTAAAAAAAATTTAACAACATATTTTAAATTGTGTAATTATTATATAGCTTTTGTAATTACCTTAAATTTACTGAGACTAATATTCCTAATAAATTAGAATTTCATCACTATTAAAGTGAGCTACCAAAACTAAAGGATTTTTGATGATGAAAAACTGATCATTATAATGAGACGCACCTATGATATACACTTTGACCTATTCATTTTAACATAAAATATTGATGTTAAAATACTCAGATGCAGTTCATATAGTGTATGCTTAATTGAAATGTATCTCAGCACTTCTCTCTAAGAGGGAGACATCCTGCAAAGTTGCAATGTTTTCATGACAGTCAATCGTTCATGGTCACGGTGGCATAATCTGTCCAAACAGCTCCGTTCCGAAGAGGTCGAGAGTTATCGATTCCGACCATGGTCATATTTCATCTCCATGAACGTTTTTAATTGACGTGGATCTGCTCTTATGGATTATAGGCTATAGAGAGAAGAGACGCACACCTGGCTCTGATGTCAAGCTTGTATGACTCTCCATATTCGTCCGCTCCTTTAATCCCGACCTTCTTGTTAGCCTTAATCAGATTCAATGTTTTTAATGGAACGTATGCAAATGTTTCTGTTTTTATCTTATTTCCACTGATCAAATAGGCCACCGCAGTGATTGTGTTTCAAACACTCACCTCGATCCCACCCCTAAAAACATCACTAATCATAAATGAAGTACTTTGACTACTTTACATAAAGCCAGTTAGGGAGGAGAGGGGCTAATCAAGAGTAGATCAAACGACTCGTCTTTAATTGAAGTGCAAAAACGGACCCTCTTTCTTTTTTTTTGTTTGCAGGGCCAATTCAGGCAGTGGCTTTCAGGGCTCTGTCAGGAGGCCTGCTACTCTTCCCACAACTCCCAGAAGTCTACACAGCTACGGACAACAGATGAAGTGCAGCGGTCGCGGTGGGAAATGTAGTCTGCTGCTCGACGGCTTGACGGTACGTGACTAATTAGGTCAGTTCCTTTGGCAGCTGCAGGTGAGAGGTGCTCGCTCGCGTTTGCTTCGTGTTGAACACCTCCGGGACGGTGGAGCTTCAGAGCCGGGGGTTTTTATGGATTGCTGGGATGATGGGAGTTTCAGGTTGTGATGCGAGGCCCATGTGTATTTTTATGAAAACGCTCCGCTTCAAAGAAGTACTACAACAACCATGACATGAAGATATTAAGAAAGCCATAAAGAACCAGAGTTCATACCATTCGAACTACTTGTCAACTGATACGCGGTTCAGGATTTCTTGAATATTTAACGAAGGTACATGAGATACATTGCACTAATTTGCATTAGTGCAAATTACTACTAACAGTTGCTTATGTGTGTGTGTGTGTGTGTATATATATATATATATATATTATTATATATATACACTGAACAAAATTATAAACGCAACACTTTTGTATATATATATATATATATATATATATATATATATTATTTTTCTTTTCTTTTTTTTCAATCAATAAATGCTTTTTTGGAAAGTAATGAATACTTTCATTCAGCAACAATGAATTAAATGGATCAAAAGTGACATTAAACACTTCTACAGTGGCCCAAAGGTTTTGAACATTCTATTCGTCAAAGAATCCTGAAAAAAAAAAAATTTGTTTCCACAAAAATATTAAGCAGCACAACGGTTTTCAACATTGATAATAATAATAATAATAATAATAAGTGTTTCTTGAGCAGCAAATCAGCATATTAGAATGGTTTCTGAAGATCAAGACTGGCATAATTATGCTGTAAATTCAGCTTTTAATCACAGGAAAAAATAGATTTTAAAATATATTCAAACTGAAAACCTTTATTTTAAATTGTAATAATATTTCACATATCTTACTGATTTAACTGTATTTTGATCAAATAAACAGAAAAAAGTGCAAAAATGTAAACAGTAATGTGCGTTTATAGCAATAGCAATAATAATAATAATAAACTTTGTGCTATAATTGACACATTTTGAAACACAAGTGGTTATTATACATTAATTTCAAAATGGCCAAATACCAGTTTACTTGGGGAAAACGTCTCTGAAAATAACTGAAGCAAAACAAGCCAATTTTTCCATCTTAATTTTATTACTCAAAGGGAAAAAAAACAAAACCTACCAAGATGTCCATAGGGGTGTTTTATTCGTTGTGGCATGTGCAAGGCTGTGATGAGTGTCTGTTGCCATTTTAAAACAAGATTCAACATCATTGATAGCTGCCGATTTGTGATTGCATTACCTATGGAGTCGCTAGAAATGTTTAAAAATAGATTTGAAGAGGCAGCGTTTTATTTTCAATCGATACGTGTCATTTTTCATCGTTGTATTTACAAGCATGCTCGCTCTGGGTGTGCATAAGGGTACTTCTCGTCTCTTTTTCGTCACTAAAAATGTATCCACGTAATAACAACGTCAGGATAGCAAACGCTAAAGCATTTTTACAAGTCTTTATAAACAGGTAAAAACAGAAGGGGGAGTACTGTAATACTGTGTTTATAGCAACATCAAATGAACACTTCTTTTTTTTTTTTACTTTTTAAGTTAAGCAGCAATAGAGAAAACATTGTCACGGGGCAAAGTAAGACAGCAAAGACGTACAAAGAACGTTTGTTTCAAGATCACTTGAGCATCTGTTTGAAATGCTGATTAAAATACAATGGAAAACAACAAACCAGATAATAAAATAAACACCAGAATAATAAACATAGGGCAGGGAAATGACAACATGAGGAAAATATTTCTACACTTTCTAAAAAAAATACAACAAATTAGAAAAAAGGAAATGTTGATATAGAATCCCTTTCTCAAAAGGCAAAACAACAAATATAGACAATGTTTATTAAAGAAGCACATGTCTTATTTGGAGTCTGTCCACATAATATTTGTCTCTTTTGTCTATATTTCTGAATCAGAAATATATACACTGAACAAAATTATAAACGCAACACTTTTGTTTTTGCCCCCATTTTTCATGAGCTGAACTCAAAGATCTTTTTAATGTGGCCAGCCTAAGGCACACCTGTGCATGCTGTCTAATCATATCTTGATATGCAACACCTGTGAGGTGGATGGATTGTCTCGGCAAAGGAGAAGTGCTCACTAACACAGATTTAGACAGATTTGTGAACAATATTTGAGAGAAATAGGCCTTTTGTGTACATAGAAAAAGTCTTAGATCTTTGAGTTCAGCTCATGAAAAATGGGGGCAAAAACAAGTGTGTTGCGTTTATAATTTTGTTCAGTGTATATATATATATATATATATATATATATATATATATATATTATTTTTCTTTTCTTTTTTTTCAATCAATAAATGCTTTTTTGGAAAGTAATGAATACTTTCATTCAGCAACAATGAATTAAATGGATCAAAAGTGACATTAAACACTTCTACAGTGGCCCAAAGGTTTTGAACATTCTATTCGTCAAAGAATCCTGAAAAAAAAAAATTTGTTTCCACAAAAATATTAAGCAGCACAACGGTTTTCAACATTGATAATAATAATAATAATAATAATAAGTGTTTCTTGAGCAGCAAATCAGCATATTAGAATGGTTTCTGAAGATCAAGACTGGCATAATTATGCTGTAAATTCAGCTTTTAATCACAGGAAAAAATAGATTTTAAAATATATTCAAACTGAAAACCTTTATTTTAAATTGTAATAATATTTCACATATCTTACTGATTTAACTGTATTTTGATCAAATAAACAGAAAAAAGTGCAAAAATGTAAACAGTAATGTGCGTTTATAGCAATAGCAATAATAATAATAATAAACTTTGTGCTATAATTGACACATTTTGAAACACAAGTGGTTATTATACATTAATTTCAAAATGGCCAAATACCAGTTTACTTGGGGAAAACGTCTCTGAAAATAACTGAAGCAAAACAAGCCAATTTTTCCATCTTAATTTTATTACTCAAAGGGAAAAAAAACAAAACCTACCAAGATGTCCATAGGGGTGTTTTATTCGTTGTGGCATGTGCAAGGCTGTGATGAGTGTCTGTTGCCATTTTAAAACAAGATTCAACATCATTGATAGCTGCCGATTTGTGATTGCATTACCTATGGAGTCGCTAGAAATGTTTAAAAATAGATTTGAAGAGGCAGCGTTTTATTTTCAATCGATACGTGTCATTTTTCATCGTTGTATTTACAAGCATGCTCGCTCTGGGTGTGCATAAGGGTACTTCTCGTCTCTTTTTCGTCACTAAAAATGTATCCACGTAATAACAACGTCAGGATAGCAAACGCTAAAGCATTTTTACAAGTCTTTATAAACAGGTAAAAACAGAAGGGGGAGTACTGTAATACTGTGTTTATAGCAACATCAAATGAACACTTCTTTTTTTTTTTTACTTTTTAAGTTAAGCAGCAATAGAGAAAACATTGTCACGGGGCAAAGTAAGACAGCAAAGACGTACAAAGAACGTTTGTTTCAAGATCACTTGAGCATCTGTTTGAAATGCTGATTAAAATACAATGGAAAACAACAAACCAGATAATAAAATAAACACCAGAATAATAAACATAGGGCAGGGAAATGACAACATGAGGAAAATATTTCTACACTTTCTAAAAAAAATACAACAAATTAGAAAAAAGGAAATGTTGATATAGAATCCCTTTCTTAAAAGGCAAAACAACAAATGTAGACAATGTTTATTAAAGAAGCACGTGTCTTATTTGGAGTCTGTCCACATAATATTTGTCTCTTTTGTCCTTTCATGTAGAGGTGCTGTGGACAAAGTTCTCTAGTTCACTGTTGTGCTGTTCAGAATCACTGGTGCACAGAATCATGGGGGATCAGCAGATAACACCCAGTAATAATAATAATAATAACAAACTGAAGATAGGTTTAGATTAGGATGATGCTGTGTGCTTCACATAACGAAGGGTAATTCATCAGGTAATGAGATTTTAATCCAGGAAAACAAACATTTCTTTTAAACTCAACAAAGTGTGGGATGTAGAAGTAGTCAAAACAAGAGAGAAAGACATTTTTTTACAAGTCGGTGCATGTGATGTTGAAAGGTCTCCAACGAGCAGTGCTCCAGACACACACACACACACACACGTGTCTCATGAGGAACGCAAACACACTGCACCTCCACACACACATACATACACACACACTCAAGTCCTGTACATGGGTTCAGATGCCCGGTCTTCAGCACCCGCACCACTTTTCCTCCGGGAAATAGCCCCACAAACCCCTCTCCATCTGTGGACTGAGCTGAGCTGTCTGTCGTGGGACTAAAGATGCCAGAGGCTTCAGTACATGATGGGAGGTTTGGAGTAGGGTCTGTTTTCTGTAATGAAGAAGATAAAATGCATGAGAGCCAGTGAATTTTATATAGAACTTTAATCGTGTAACCCATAAAAAATGAACTGTAATCTGAGCCTTTTTAAAACGTAATATAATCAAGTACTGCATTTTTAAAATCTGATTGTGTAATCCAGATTACATGTAAATGTATATGTTCATTTGTATTAGTTTATACATATAAAATTATTTATATAAAATATTCATCAGATTTGAGAGCTTTAACTATCAATTATATAATATGAAAACGAGGCATAATATGATTTTGAACACAACAGTGTTCAAATTAATATTCCACCACCCCCAAGAGAATCACAAGACTTCGTAATTCAAGAATCATAATTAAAAAAGGAACAAAAACAAAAAGACATTAATGTCTTCCAAAATCAAAACTTAGCAAGTTTAGAGAATGAATCATGTTTGCGGTGGCCGTAAAGCACTAGATCAGAGAGAAACAGCTGGTGGTTGAGGGGCAGGAGTGCTGCAGATGCATGTTAATAAGAGAGCTCGCAGCGCACCGTCACACAGGAAGCAGTTCATTAGGACTCGAGTGCTTTTACATGTTCAACATGCTCGTTTCTGCAAGCACCAACAGATGAGCTAATATGTATGCAGGATGTAAATAAAACGGCACTCAAGGTACATGCTACGGAGAGAGAGTAAGTGAGGGAGAGCTGGACACTAAACTGAGCGTGTTTATGTCCCTGCGCATAATCTATAGGTCACCCCAAATCTGTTTGCTTTGAAAGCGGACATGGAAAAATTACATTCTAGACGCCCAGGGGTAATGTAAAAAAGTCATGTTGACTGGTGATGCTTTTCACTACTTGGCCATTCTTGACTGTATTTTGATATAATTTCTTGAATTGGTATACATTTAATGGTGTAAAATTAAATTTGAATTATTTTATTTTATTAATATGTAAAAAAAAAAGATGAAATTATAATAATTAATTGCTACATTTAATTGCCCAAAATCTCACATTTTGTTAGTGCATGATCTTACCCCAATTAGAAAAATGCACAATTTTGCCAAAATGGTTGCAACCTAAAACGGCTAATATTTTAACTTCCAGAGCTTTTCAGCAAATGATCCACGAAAAAAAGAAAAGAAAAACTGCTTAACCTTCAGAAATGTTTGACTCTCAAGAATTTCAGGCCTCTCTTTGTGGAAAGCGCCTCATTTTCTGATAAACTTTCTGTGAACTGAAATGCTTTCTCATTCAACCCTTTTTTTTTAAAAGAAAAACTGCTTAACCTTCAGAAATGTTTGACTCTCAAGAATTTCAGGCCTCTCTTTGTGGAAAGCGCCTCATTTTCTGATAAACTTTCTGTGAACTGAAATGCTTTCTCATTCAACCCTTTTTTGTTTGTTTATTAACATACACAGAACATGATTAAATGCCATATTAAACATTACATGTGACATTCATACTATACATGAACCATTTGAAATGTATGAATGCCACACTGAGGCCTGCTGGTGCTGAAAGGAGGGAGGGATGTTAGAAGAGATAAATAGAGGGCGGGTATTTCACTTGCTCTGAAATATGAGTTATGAGTAATATCCTGAAGTGCAATTAGTTGAGTCCTATGGCTGACAGCAGACTATATCTGCCATGATGAAGCCGCACCCAGGAGACACCGGAGCAAATAGTTCATACACTTAATACAGAGACCTGACAGAGCAGGACACTATCTGTTTTGTTAAGCAGGAGGTGGGCCAAAATACCAGTATTCAATGCATCAAGATTCATTTCTTTTTTGTGAATATCAGTGTTTTGACCATGTCACATACTCTAGCTAAACAAATTTAATATTCATATTAATTGTAAATATCTTTAAAAAAATCTTGTCACACACAGGGCAAGTTTAAAATTAAATTAGCAACATTTTGCTCATTCGTTTATATTTTATAACCTTATATTAATAGTACAAATATTTTGACAACATAAATCTGGTCACACACAGGGCAATTTTAAAATTAAATTTGCAACAATTATTTCATGTACATTTTTCATTATTAAATACAAAAAATACAAAATTGAAAAATTGAGATAAAATACAAAATTGAATTCTCTCCAATGTGCTGTAAAATTCAACAAAAAGTAAAATCACAGAATTTTATGTAAATGAATGAATAAATAAATGCACATTAATGTATATTAAATATTGTATACAAGGAGACTATCAATAAAATAATATTTGCTATTGGCAATTTTCGTATTCACATTTTATTCATCAATTTGTAGCCCTAACAGAAAGCATCCAAGTTATATTCAAAGGCAACCATTTATACATCACACTCTCCTCCTTACATTGGTATTTCAGTAAATAACTGTTGCCAGCGATGAGGTCAACCCTATGAATCTTGGCTCTTTTGCCCCACATGTAGGATACTGTAAATAGATGGATGGGGATATGAGGGTGGTCCTCCTCTGGGACCTTCTCCACAACACACGGCTCCCCTCCATATAACCCCGGACTCATTTATTCCCGAAACGCAAACACCCCTTCCTCATTCTTGATTATTCATCCTCGTTATATCACAGCATGATACCAATTAATAGGTTGAAAACGTCTAGATTTGAATGGTGTGCTGAAGTATACAGAATTCCATACGGGATCTGCACACTTTCAGCGTTGATTGTTGGAACGTGTGCGGAATTCTCCGGAATGAGTGTGACTGCAACGTTTTGAGTTCGGTTTGCTCTTAATCTCGGATCTTAATTACATTTTCACCTCGCCTCTCTCTCTCTCTCTCCCACCACTCCACGCTTCTCTTAATCGGCTTGTAAAATGATGTCACCTTCTTTTGTGTTCAGCAGTTTTCTGTTAGCGCCACTTGTCTTGATTAATCAGAAAAGGCACGGGTCATCGTAATGGCCCAACACAGGGGTGGAACCTGAGAAAGCGCAAAAAGCTTTTAGCCCGACGAGTGGGATCTCAGCAAGGACAATCAAACCTAATGAAATCAGCTGTCACTGCTAAGCTTGCAAAACTGTGAAGTCCGACTTGGGAGAGAAGCACGGGCTAATTAGATTTTTGCCTGCTGTAATGGATAAATGTGGTGAGGCGCGGGAGCTCGGGGAGGGGTGGAGCGGACAACAGACTTCATACACAAACTCCCCAGGTGGGGCGGCTCCAGACTTTGTAAGCTGATTGCACAGACACCTTTTCCTCTTTCAGCTTGATGGAACTTCTAGATAAAGAAGTGTAGAGATAAAGTGATGATCTGTGCGTCCGAGAGAGTGCGGGATCATTATGTTTTCCCTTCATGGACAAAACCAGGCATTCCTTTAAGTTTGTTACAATTTAGATGTTGTTTACACCGAAAAAGGACAAATACTGTATTGCTGAATATTCCTCTTTGTATTACAGTGTTAATAATTTTGTGGCCTCCGTGAACAAAAGTGAACCTTAAAACTTTGTGAATCAAATAGTTTAAAGCTCATTTAGTAGGAGTCATTACTTCCTATAAGCCAATTATATTGAGTACTGAATATACGGCATCCATAATCGCAGTCTCAATTAACTGTACAGCAGTGTTAATTTAGTTGACGAATAATTTTCGTCATAATTTTCGTCAACGGCATTTTTTTCACCGATGACAATGAGACGATAACGAACTAAAACTCATTTTGAATGACAAAAACTATGACGTAAATCTATTGACATTTTCGTCAACTAATAAAAACGAGACGAAAATGTTAGGGAGGGACGATTTGGGAAGAGATTCATTCAGAAGGAATCTGCTGCATGGTTCGGGGGTTAGATGCGTACATATGAATCGGCGGGACATAAGCTAAAATACACTTGCTGCACGTCGCATAAAACGTTCAAAAAGTCAATATGTGGGAGACAGCCCTAAACTGAATTATCAACTGTAACGGTATTGAACTTGTTTTTCCCCTTTAGTGAGGTATTAAAATGTAATGCAAAGCTGTTTTTTCCATTGTAGGGCGCAGTCAAAATACTGTGTCAGAGCGACTGCAGTTCCGTAGCAGAGAGACTCGTTTGCACCTCATATTAGCCTCTGCGTTATAGGGGAAAGGTCTGATCTTCACGTTTCCTGGTTCTGCTCGTTGCTCTAAAGGTCAGGGCCATTGTGACGGAGCTCGAAAACTAATCCCTGCTGTTATGCTCACATTAGTGACGCCTCATCTCAAGTCACTGACTACATTCCACAGGCCTCCAGAGTGCACTGAAATGGTTGCAAATAAAACATTTTTCAGTTTTTCAGAATTAACTGGGAACTGTTATTTGTCATTTAAAGATACATAAAATTTCATTGTAATAAATGCTATTCATTAAAAAAAAATAAAAAATCACAATCATTGTTAAGCATAGTGAGGTCTGACTGTAATCTTGTACAGAGTCCCTAAAGGTACATGATGGAGAAAAAAAATAAGATTTCAATAAGTTTGCGTACTCCAGCAAAAGTTTTGTATTCCCCTGAGAAACTTTGCATTCATGGGCAATTTTTTTGCATTCCCCGATAAACATTTTTTTTTGCAAATGTTTTGTGTTCCCTTGAGAAACAAACGTGAGGCTTCTTGGGGAACTCTAAAATTTGTGAGTGAACACAAAGCATGGAAATATAATTTTTCCTCCCATCTCATCTTTATTTCCATCTCCATGTCTCTTTAGGGCCTCCATAATGTTGAATCCATTGCAAGGGAAACTTTGGGAGTAATATGTATAACATGTTAGAACCATCAACACAATTTTTTCCCCTCCAAACAGCCAGAAATATTCTTACAAAACAAAGTGACCTTTATATGACACAGTGATACTAGTGACAGCATGGGAACTAAACTGCTTCTGATCAACCAATTCTATAATTTGTGATAAATAAAAAAGCTATTGGGTCCTAAAAGTTTTTATTTTAGGAGCCAATGGCTCCCTAGTCAATTTTTAGGCCTGAATGAAATCTGGTACGATTTCAAGATAAGTGCTTCTCAACTAGTGGGTCGCAACCCAACTGTTTAGATTTGTTTCGGGATTGTTACATTTTTTCAATAAGCACATGTGATTGTATATGATCATCACTTAATGGTTGAAAACCAACTCAAAAGTCATGAGTTACTTGATGTCTCACAAGATTTGACAACAGCATGCTCTATTCTGTCTCCAGATGTCGGTCTACAAAATAACAATTGATGTATTTCTCAGTCTGGTCTAAGGCTGCGTTGCGTGTCTTTGATCTGCAGGTTTTGCAGATCTGACCTGGAGTTGAAAGTTACAGACTTTGAAACATGAGATGTGCAACAGATTTAGGGTGAAGTTATGTCTGATTCAACCCGAGAAACCTGTCGATGACCTCTTTACACTGCGTATGAACCTTGGTGCCGCCCCCAAAGAAGAAAAAAAACTGGCGATATCTACTCTGCAAACGCTTCAGCAGTGCTCCGTTACAGCGCAGCTGTCAAAGCCGGAAGAAAAATGGACGTCTCTTTATTTGCAGACTGTGAAATTGGCTCTATAGTGGAAAAAAAACATTCCGCTCATTTTCAGCGGAGCACTTTGCAGCCCACTTCCACTGCATCTTCTGTAAACATATGTATTTATTCACCTTCCCCCAGCCCCACATTTCAATGAGATGTACGGCAGCGGGTCTTTAATTCGCCGTCAGACGTGTTGATAATAGGTCTCATTTATCAAACACAACTTTTGGCCAGATTTGGGAGGCTAGCTTGGAGGGAAGGGGGAAAGACAGATGGAACAGGGATGAGAATGAAACTGTATGAGTGTGTGCAGAAGAGCTGTAAAGCGCAAATAGATCTCGGGGAACGGAGGCGTGAAAGGCACATGAAAACATCAGTTTGTAATCTCGCTCCCGAAAGAGTTGGACATCTTCAAAGGGACCCAATGAGATGTAAGGCAAGTTCAGGGATTTACTCTGGTAGTTTTGCTGGGGTTCGGCCCCAGGAGAGAGGGGGGCCTCTGGACCATATGTACAGCACATGGCTGGTTGCATCTTCTCAACTGCAGCCATTTTTACCTTCCATTCAAATACAGACTATTGACCATAAGTATGATGCCAGGTCTTTATTCCGAGTTTTGTAGTAACACATGTAGTTTACATACAGTAAATTCTTACCTTGTACAGCTGAGTTCTCCTGCTGGCTGCCATTATGTTCAGACTTCACCTCTGGTATCACTGCCTCTACAATCAAATATGTCACACAATTAGACCTCTCGGTACATTATCAGTAAAACATGCCATTGATACCTCTGTCTCAAATAAATATATTTACAAATAACATTTTTAATAATATTGTCACATTTTACAACCTGAACTACATCGACCTCACTGAGGGTTTTCTGGGATCCCCTCAAGGGAAATGAAAAACAAAAAGAGGTGGAGAAAGTTTCATTAAAATGACACATTCAAAACTTTGGGGGCAGTAAGTGTTTTTTTGTTGTTGTTTTTTTTAAGAAATAATTATTTTATTCAGCATTTAAACTTTTTGCATTAAACTCTTTACTATTTCAAATAAATGCTGTTATTTTGAACTTCCTATTCATTAAAGCATCCTAAAAAATAAACATATTAAGTGCATATTAAAAACAAAAATATTAAGTGGCACAATTGTTTTCAATATTGATGATAATCAGAAATGTTTTGACCAATGTCTTGAGCAGAATGATTATATTATATTAGAATGATTTCTCCACTGAAGACTGGAGTAATGATGCTGAAAATTCAGCTTTGCATTACAGGAATAAATTACATTTTAAAACAAGTTAACATAGAAAGCAGTTATTTACTTAATATTACAGTACAATATTACTGTTTTTATGTTATATTTAATCAAATAAATGCAGCCTTGCTGACCCAAACTTTTGAACAGTAGTTAGTATTATTACACATTAAAAAAAGATTTTTTTATTCGTTTTTTTATTTTTATTCATGTTGTCTGCCTAGCTCACTTGAGTTGAACTGCACTTGGAAAATCTCCACAACAAAGGTTGTGTTGCACAGATAAACAAAAGGAAGTAGCTTTATCTGAGGAGAGACGTGACGTAACAGCAGACCTTCACAATATAGATTATTTTTTTTATTCGTTTTTTTTATTTTTATTCATGTTGTCTGCCTAGCTCACTTGAGTTGAACTGCACTTGGAAAATCTCCACAACAAAGGTTGTGTTGCACAGATAAACAAAAGGAAGTAGCTTTATCTGAGGAGAGACGTGACGTAACAGCAGACCTTCACAATATAGATCTTTTTCTAGCATTCCCCTCAGATGAAAGGCAAAAACAAAGTGCATTTCTCATAATGAATTCGCGTCTAATCAGGCTTGGCCTAATAATTGCTCCAGCACTCATGAAAATACTTGCAGATGTCTTGCAAATGTACATGTCCCCCCCCCCTTTCAAATTCTGCTTCTGTTAAGATATTCACAATTAAACAAGTGTAATCAAAACAACAGCAAGCGATTAGGAAAATGGTTTGGCCTTGATAAGTGTGTGTATTTAGAGCGTTTATGATAAACATCAGACTCCATTTCCTCAGCTGAGATTATGATGCTAATGCACTGCTAATAGTTATGACCTAGACGGAAATACCAATATCAGCACCGACTAAAAAAATATGAGAATGAACAGAAGGTTGAACGAAATATTAATGGACAAACTGAGGGAAGTTCTGAACAAGCAGATCTTTAAAGATACTGTGAGAGAGTATCACAGGATAGACTGTAAAGAGAAACTGTGTATGTACATGTCCAAACAATGCGCGATGTGACGAGTTTCCAATGTTACGTCAATGAAAGTAAACATGCACCACAATGCCAATTTAAAGGCGATTTTCTCAATATTTTGATTTTTTGTGCACCCTCAGATTCCAGATTTTCAAATAGTTGTATCTCGACCAAATATTTTCCTATCCTAACAAACCATACATCAATGGAAAGCTTATTTATTCAGCTTTATTGAATTTTATTGAATTTTGAAAAATTGACACTTAAGACTGGTTTTGTGGTCCGGGGTCACTCATATATGTAAGTGTGGGGAAATGGAATTGGAAATGCATCATGGGAGTGGACGTCACTGCTAAGCATGGCGCTCATTTCCAGTGGCTTCTCTGATTGGTGGAGCTCTCTTCAAGGTTATGTGTAGTCTGGATATTTCTGCTGGAGTTCAACAATTACGCAAGTGGTTTTGGCTCCTATGGAATCAAATATCATAAGCTGCCTTTCCACCATTGGGCCAAACGTTTCTCGTTACTAAACCATTCTGTTCTGTGCTGATCCAGTTCAGTCGGCATGAGTATGGTTTCGTTTTTCACTGTGGAGCTGATAATGGAGCTTGTAATACAAATGCATCAATTGTTGCTATGGTAATGCAAGTGCTTACATACAGTATCAGACATGAATAGCGACTGTGTTATGGAAGATGATCAAATATTTCTGTTTACTTCGCTCAAGTAGTGCGCTTGGCCAGCTACAGAGAGAAACTAGTAGCCAGACAACAGACAATGGACCAATCCTGAGTGGCGATGTCACTACACCATTTCTGTTCATTTCAGGCCGATAACTGTGCCGAGCTCAAATGGAAACGCTACTGGCGATCTCATAATTTTGGACCAATGAGATTTCATTGTGGGCTTGTCATTTATTGCTTATTGCATCACATCTGCTTGGTTGGCTTGTCCCAATACCACACTTGCGGTCTTGGCCACTTGTAGGTGCATAAGACCGTTCCTGGTCTCATAAATGCCAAAGCTCAGTGCCTTTAACACACACTAAAATCTCTAAGTTTGCATCAAAGTGGTATTTGCAGCTCTGTGTATCCCATCATTCATCATATTAAGAACTCAAAACACTAAAATTTAAGGCACATTTTATTGGTGCAGAGAGGTGTATGTGTATTTTGTAAAATGTTAGCAACTGCTTTTTATCTTTTAATTAGAAGCACCACATTTGCTTTATTGTAAGTGCAAAGTATTGAAAATCAAAATGTGTAAGTAAACTTTAGTAGGACTTAACACTATGATGTGTGTCCCATCTGGTGATCAAAAGTTCTGCGCACACTTGAACACTTGGGCCAAATACAGGAAATGTGTCTTGTGAGTAGACAACTGGTCAAATGAAAAGTGTGGGTATTGGGACAGGCCCAGCGTTGTGTGTGTCCGACCAGAGCCCCACCGTTGAGACTCATGCGGAGACTCTCAGGAGATGTGGCCTGTTTGAGCGCCTGTTCCACCTGCTCTCTCCTCTTGGACTCAAACTCCAGAGCCTCCTGCAGTTTCCTCTTCGACTTCTTTTCCTTCTTCAGACGCTTCTGAATAGTGGCTGAGGGCGAGAAGAAAGAAGTTTGAACAAACATTCAAACGTAAAACACTTCTCTCCTTCAGCATGGTGTCTGAAAACACAAGGAGACGCCAGCGCAGTCTCACGTTCACACATTAGAGACTTGAAAGTGCTCATTAGCACTAGCAAAACAAAAACATATGGTGCGCTACGTGCAACAGCTTTCAAAAAGGATATGTAAAATTGCTAGGTTTTTTAGACGCTCGGATTAATAAACTTTACGGAAATGTGGCCTAGTTAGTGGTGTTTGCTAGGGCATCGCTACTACTATTACTCGTATTCAGGGTTCAGAGACTGTAAGAATAAACAATCGTTGTAGCACTACTAATAAAATAATAAATTCAACCTAACAATGTGCATTTATGGGCCAACACAACAGCTGTACACACCTAACGCCAACACATCGTGTTCACACAGCACAATGTTTTCTCTGAATATGTGCAAACATAATCAACTCTGTGTATATGTGGATTCACAGCAATTAACGGCCTTTTGAAACACTCGGAGTCTGGCAGAAGACCTTAAAACAAGCTCCCGGCGTGTTCGCTCGCTTGCAGTGTTAAATGTATGTCCCTTCCTCCTCACACCTCTAATTACTTGCCTTTGATTGGCCAAATCATCCACCATATAACAGTGCGCAATAAAAGAACATGAAATGCTGTAACAGCCATGGCTAATAAATTATTGAGGTGTTTGTACATATTGTCAGAGTTGTTATCCAGCTGAATAATTGGCTTAATTTCTTGGCGCAAACGGCAGGAGTTGAATTGGCAGTAAATCCACTAGTGACACGGTTTGGTTGCGATATAGGGAGGGAATTGGCGGCGCACACTCTGAGGTTTTTCTGAGTGTTCGTCATGCGTTAATGTGTTTACTAAAAAAAAATAATAAATGAGGACCGGAAGGGTTCATACACATTATGACCAAAGAATTTCCATCACTTTTCCAGTAATTTGTGATTACTGGATAAGGCTCAATTTAAAATCATTTAAAAGGGTAACACACTATTTCTAAAGGTATTAATAAATCACCACACACACATCAACTCTGGACCTAAATTATAACTATTATAAAAGCAAGTTCAATTCTGATCCACCGTAACGTCCTTTAGGTTTAATCATGTGTACGTACCTCGGCTGTGCAGTTCAGAGGTGAGTTGTCTCTCCAGACTCTCTCTCATCTCTCTTTCTCTGTACAGCTCCATCTTTAACTCCTTGCGTTCCTGTTGCACCTGTTTGTCCTGCACGCGGGCATTATCCACGGCCACCTTCAGCAGACCCTGAGCCGCCAACACAACACAAGACACACTCGATTTTAATACACAAATAAACATCCACAGTTACTGTATGCAACATGCATATACTTTAAAGGGGTCTTATGATGCGATTTCAAGTTTTCCTTTCTCTTTGGAGTGTTACAAGCTGATTGTGCATAGATAAGATCCCTGAAGTTGCAAAGACTAAAGTCTCAAAACCAAAGAGATATTCTTTATCAAAGTTAAGACTCTGCCACGCCCCCCTAAAATGGCTCGTTCTAACACGCCCCCACATATCTAGGTCACTATGTGGGAATATTTGCATAATGCGCCCAAATGTGCACGCAAAGAAAGAAGGCGTGGTTTCAGTAACCGCAGTTAGTGTTGAAGCAGCATGTCAGGGAGACGCTGTGTGTTTCTAGGCGAAAGCAAAAGCACTTTATTTGGCCTTCCGGAAGTAGATGCATTTAGGAATCTTTAAGATTACTTACAACAGAACAGCAATGCATTTTATGGACGACCGTTTCGTGAACCTAGGAGAGGAGGTCATTCTGACTTTGCTATGACAATCTGGCGCTTCTGAATCAGCTACTGTTTTGTTATTAGTTTAAGTATTTGCTATTGGCTGTTCAAATGCAGAGTTTTGCGCGTCGTGCGTGTGTGTGCGCCCGCGTGTGTGTGTGAGAGAGAGAGCGAGACAGCGTCACATCACAGTGGAGTCAGCTGTCTTAACCGCAGCTTGTGTACTGCAAACACATACCAGCTTCATCACGGTGTCGGTCACATGACTCTGTTCCCCTTTCGGGCTTGAACTGATGGTAAAACTAATGACATTATTTACTGTCTTTACATTGCTTCTTATCCAGGAGGACAGGGTCCACTAGGGGGCCTCAGCAAACTTCTACTTAAAATTACGTAAATGAATATTATGATTATATATTATTTATTACTATTATTACTACTACTATTACTATAATTAATATTTATATTGGAATGAATATATTAAAACAATCTAACTTCATTAACATGCTTAAAAAAAAGAGTATGACCTGAAATTATATTTAATATTTTCCCCCTCAATAGCTATTGTTTTTATTGAAGAACATACAGTTCTTGAAACGGCTTGAATCATACAATGAATTGAAGTTAATCAATTACATAGCAGCATATGGGTTTCTAACATGCGTATAAATACACTGACTTAATTTTTTCTTACATTTTTTATAGGGCTGTCAACGTTAACACGTTAACGCATGCGATTAATTTTACAATCCTTAACGCTATATATTATTTATTACTATTATTACTACTACTATTACTATAATTAATATTTATATTGGAATGAATATATTAAAACAATCTAACTTCATTAACATGCTTAAAAAAAAGAGTATGACCTGAAATTATATTTAATATTTTCCCCCTCAATAGCTATTGTTTTTATTGAAGAACATACAGTTCTTGAAACGGCTTGAATCATACAATGAATTGAAGTTAATCAATTACATAGCAGCATATGGGTTTCTAACATTCTAACAGCGTATAAATACACTGACTTAATTTTTTCTTACATTTTTTATAGGGCTGTCAACGTTAACGCGTTAACGCATGCGATTAATTTTACAATCCTTAACGCATTAAAATAATTTAACGCAATTAACGCAAAATTACTGAAGCACAATTTCTATTCTAACCCTTTAACCCAATTTGGTGTCTCTGCTTGCAATCAGATAATTTTAAGCCGCTAAACTCCGGGAAAGTTTTCAGTCCAATGATCCAGTAAGCGAATGCATTCAAACAATCCGTCCAAAACAGCGCTAATATAAAGGAAACCAGGCTGATTACATCAGAGATTGCAGAGAGAAAAGAGACTCGCTTTGCTTTTTTAGTGAATTATTCATTCCAGTGTGTTTCACTTTTAAACACGAGCTCTGAAGAGCACGGTTGTCTCTAAAGAGCGCGAGCCCTTGTTGGATGTACAGACTGAACGGAATGTCAACACATCCCACTGCTGTGTGGCCAGATGAGACGCAAACTACGGTTTCTCGACTTGATAACCAGTCTCGCTAGAAAAGTTTTGATGGATGAAGACTGCAATCAAGGTAAAGACGTTTGCGGTGGCGTACAGGAGTCGTACAGTACAGTAAGCATAATAATGCGTGTATGAGTGCTCTTGACGCACTGATCGCACATTGTATTTATGCACATGCACAGCTATTTCCGTACATTCACGTTGTTTCCACACACATTCACGATAATGTTTTGATTTGTCATGTGTATGTTGCTGTTTAGTTATTCTGAATGGATCCGTGTACTGTAGTAGATGTATGCAGTCAGCCGTCGGTTGGTTTATTTTTTTTTGACATCACCATGTGGTCCTGTTCGGTATCGCAACTTGACTTCTCTAAAATGTAAAAAAGCTATTTGCTGTTGCACTGTACAAACTTCTTTTTTTGCATTTTTTTTCTTTTCATATGTGCTTATATGGGCTCCTTATTTCATTTGGTTCCTTGGTGTCCTTTTGGAGTCCTTTTTTGGAAAGACCTACATTTATCTTGAAAAAAGCTTGCAGAAAATACTGATTTTTGAGAATCACCCTTCAATATTTTGGTTTACTTCAAAATAAACATTTGAAACAAGATAAATGGTCTATGCTTAATTTCATGAAATGTGCGATTAATTGCGATTAATCACAAAAAAAGGGTGTGATTAATTAAAAATTGTAATCTATTGACAGCCCCTCATTTTTTATTTAAATATTTCTAACAAATATACATAAAACACACACTGCATGTACCTGGATGTTAGTGAGCAATGTCTCCACGGAAGAGAGGCCATCTGCAAACAGGAAGGGAGCGGGGAAGCCTGGAGGAAGAGTCTGAGTGCCCAGAGGAAGCTTCTCGAACCCTGGTTTCTGTATGGGCAAAGCTAACTGAGCCTCATCTGAGAAAACACAGAACAGAACATATGTTGTCAATAGTCATGCCAGTATTTCTAGAACGTTAACATGTTAATGCATGTGACTATTTACATTTGTATATACTGTTAAAGCATTTATTAATATATTTTTAAGTAATTTAATATTATTCAATTTAGCACCATTAGTTTCTTTTTTTCTACGTAAAATAGTGGTTGGCCAATGTAGAATGTTATTGATAGCCATAAATAAATAAATAAATAAAGACATATAACACATGCTGCAATTAGAATGATTTAATTTGACATCATTAATAAAAATGAAAATGAATCGATATAAAAAAAATTTTAAATAAACATTTATTGTTTGGACGTTTTAGATTTACCTCTTGATTCTATAATCCTATTATAGTTTTTTTTTCATAAATAAAGAAATTGTTAGAAACATGACTAAAAAGGTTGTAACCTACAGTAATTTGGTAAATCTATGTGCACTGGAACTCATAAGACCAAGTAGAAAGGCAAACTCTATAAAACATCTTCATATACCGTTTAATTTCTTTGTCTAACACTTGTATAATGATTTACATACTGTTATGCAAACATTTTATCTATCTATATATAAATGTATATATCAAAATATCAGTTGACCACTACAGCAAAATCTATTGAAATTAAATTAATAGATTTTTAAAGTCGGCATGAAATCAAAATTGACTTTATTTACCGTATTGGCCCGAATATAAGACGACCCTGATTATAAGACGACCCCCCTTTTTCCAGATGTACCTTTTGGAAAAAGGCTTTTTAAAAAACAAATCTTGTTTTTTCTCAGTAAAACACATTTTGTCTTCAATTATTTTCATATTGCATATTTTTTCTATTTTAATTGTTTTGAAAGTATGGTAAAAACTGGTCAAATTTACCAACAATCACATTTAAAAAATATACACTTTTTGATATACCATAAAAATAAAAAAAAAACAGGTAGCCCATCTGAATTAGGACATTTAGGCTATCGATCTAATAGTAGCCTACCAAAATCTTATTAACAGTAGAAGTTAAATCTTACTGTAGTCTTCAAATCTGGGTATGGCCTTACGTTTTAAAATCATAAAGGGAGTTTGGTTAACGTGATAGTCACGACTCGTGCAGCTGTAAGGTTTTCTTTTTCTATAGTTTTTACTCGCGATCTTTACAACACGCATTTACGTATATCATGGCACACTCGTTTTATGCGCATTTGGCGCCACCTATTGTTGTGGGTGTATTATTGACATGTCAAAGTCTAGACCCTGAATATAAGACGACCGCGTTTTTTCAGATGTTTTTCCAAGAAAAAAACATCGTCTTATATTCGGGTCAATACGGTACTTTACTAGCGCACATTGCTAGTCTTGATGTTAACAATCCGTGCAAGTTAATCCGCTGAAAAAAATTGTTTGTCTTGGTAATCTTTAATCAAAATCTGAACATTTGCTTCTGCTCTGGAATGGCAGTCCTTCTCTGATGATGTCAGTTTGACGGCTTGGGCAGAATATCCTATTAAACCCACCCCTCCAACCGCTTTGTGGTAGAAACCGAGAGGAGGAGCGTCAAAATAAAACCATGCCCTCTATTCAATATTCCGTTTCAGAAGGAAATACATCACTACACTGAAATAAAGTCGGCAGCAACTTCCGGTTAACGCAGACTTTAAAAGTAAATTGTGCCATTTCCGTGTCACCAAGCAGAACTGAAAAGATAAAAACATGTTTTCCAAACACCCACCCTCCCCATCTACCATTGGTCAAACAAACAGATAGCTCCACCCCCAACCTCACCCTATTGGTTGAGCTGTTGCGGTGTCAGGCTGGTCAGGACACTCAAACACACAGAGCAAATTTTAACAGTCCCACAATTAGAAAAAAAGTCAACCTACAAATTGCTCACTTAGTCTCTGCGTAACAAACTGGAAAGTATTTTCCAGAAATGAAACTCTTCACCTTGAAGTGAGTTCCATACATCCTACAAAATTTGTTTCACAGAAGATGAACTGGCTATAATCAAAACGAGGGTTTACCGCACACCCAGAAACAGTAACTGTGAATATCACTCAGCGGGGAGAAGATAGACCGAGTGAGCACTTCACAGTGTATTTCCAAAGAAACAGAAAGCTGCTATGTCCAAACCTCCGTATAGCAGTTAATCTCTTACTTTCACACACACAATTCATATTTTACCCACAATCCCCATAGGCAACCCCTCCCACCCACAGTGCCAGGCTGCAAACTCTAGCCCCACTGCAACAGCAAAAACAGATAGAACTGGGGCTGAATAAGAAAGAGTGTGAGCGGTCATGATTCACCCTGGCTAATCTGGCCGGGGCCTCTCTCCACGCACGTTGACACGGCCCGTCTAGGGCTCCCTACGCAAGACAAATAGGACGGCTGGGGTGGGAATTGTGATGACAGTGTATCACGGGTCACATCGATTTCCCCGCCGCGCGCTCTCCCGCGCCCCACCAGATAACCCTGCACTCCTTTCTGCCCATTGTTCATACCCCACCTGTCCCACCAGCCATAAATTTTCCCCCTTCTTTCCTCGCCACCGCAAAGGGCATTAAAGAAGAGAAGAGCCGAGAGAAAGAGGGGGAGAATTCGCCCTCCTCCTCCTCCTCTCCTTACAGCTTGACAGTGTGTGATTACGTTTTTGGCGCGGGCTGAAAGTGGCGAGCAGCTGAAGGTCACGCAGATAGAGTGTGAAGAGGAAAACGCGCGAGAGCAAGAAGGATAGGGTGAGAAAAGGGGTGAGCGGAAGGGGACGCTGGAGAGAGAGGTGTGAGGTGAACTGTGAGATAAAGCTGGAGGTGAAGACTGCAGAAATGTTTAAAAGCGCACGAGGGGCTAAGCGTCTGTTTCCTACCTTCAACAGAAACATTTTAATAGTACGTATCTGTCTTATTGTGTACGGTTCATCACTGCACATTATTCCGAAGAAAAAATGTCCATGTTCATATTCTTTCACTAAAACATAGCTTCTTCACCTCTAAAATGGCTTTCGTTTCAAAATTTGCTTCAAAATATTGTAAGGAGAGAAAGGAAGTGCATGGATTATTAATGTGTAAAAATATCTGATATATACTTGAACAATTAAATTGATGTAAAAAATGAATTGAAACCTGCTTTGTCCACTTTCTACGTGTAATTTGTTGGATATATAGTACATCCAACTTTACTTGCATTCATTACACGCAAAGCAATATGCTATATAGCAAATCTCAGCTACATGATTGTTTATATCATTGCAAAATGTAAAATGTATTATTGCACAGCTCTATATATATCTATATCTATCTATCTATATATTAGGGGTGTAACGGTTCACAAAATTCACGGTTCGGTTCGATACGACACAGGGGTGTCACGGTTCGGTATGTTTTCGATACAGCAAAAACAAAGAAATGCCAGACAAATTTCCTTGATTTTTACTTAAAAATTTTTTTTAATTAAAACTAGTATCATATGATCTTAAAAATATTTTAGACTTTGGAAGGCCTTTTGACTTTTGATGTTTATCTAAGATGATTTTGGAAGCTTTTTTAACATTCGTTTCTTATTTATCTGGTTCCACCGTGTTTGCTGATTTTCAGTCTTTTATATTTAAACTGTGTAAGTTATTTGTTATTTTATATTAGGCCTATAGCATGGTGTATTTGTATTCGTTTTGTTAATAAACTAAACATTCTATGCTCAGTGTAAGTGAGTTTGTCGTACTGTTTTGTTGTTGTCAATTCAATCAATTGACGCCGAAATGCCGCTAGTTTGAAAGTGAAAGTAAAATGCGCACAAGCATTTACAAGCTATTTAAAAGCTAATGAAAACGAGGAAAAGAGGGAAAACTCTAACGAACTACCTCACCGTCACAACCTGGAGTACATTATATTTCACACACTTTAAGCTCTTTTTCCCCCCAAATGTAATAGGATTACTCCAACGAATCGTTCGGTTTGTAATGCGTACCGAACCGTAAAAATTTTTTTTAATTAAAACTAGTATCATATGATCTTAAAAATATTTTAGACTTTGGAAGGCCTTTTGACTTTTGATGTTTATCTAAGATGATTTTGGAAGCTTTTTTAACATTCGTTTCTTATTTATCTGGTTCCACCGTGTTTGCTGATTTTCAGTCTTTTATATTTAAACTGTGTAAGTTATTTGTTATTTTATATTAGGCCTATAGCATGGTGTATTTGTATTCGTTTTGTTAATAAACTAAACATTCTATGCTCAGTGTAAGTGAGTTTGTCGTACTGTTTTGTTGTTGTCAATTCAATCAATTGACGCCGAAATGCCGCTAGTTTGAAAGTGAAAGTAAAATGCGCACAAGCATTTACAAGCTATTTAAAAGCTAATGAAAACGAGGAAAAGAGGGAAAACTCTAACGAACTACCTCACCGTCACAACCTGGAGTACATTATATTTCACACACTTTAAGCTCTTTTTCCCCCCAAATGTAATAGGATTACTCCAACGAATCGTTCGGTTTGTAATGCGTACCGAACCGTTCAATACGAATACCGAATACGTGTATCGTTACACCCCTAATATATATATATATATATATATATATATATATATATATAT